GGGACCACTCCCATGCTGCAATGCTGCCGCTGGCCAGCAGGGGGCAACAGTCAAGCAACACAGGGAAAATCAGCTTCACTCACAGGAAAACGTGAGATGTTCACATTAGTATACACTGAGTGGCCAGATTACTATGACCACCTCATCAGTACAATGAAGTGAATTAGTTATGCAAATAATAATAATAATAATAATAACAACAACATTGAGAGTGTTTGCTTAGGAAATTTTCAATATTCAGTATTTTTGGAAGTGTCAATGAAGTACTGATGGGGTGATCATAATAATCTGGCCACTCAGTGTATATTTAATAACTAGAGGCCCAGTGCACAAATTTGTGCATGGGTGGGGTCCAGCCGGCCTGGCCCCAATCAGGGCAGATTGGGGCTGGGCCTGTCGGAAGGTTGGCCAGCTGGCACACCCTGATTGGGGCCCGATGAGGGCTGGGCCAGCTGTGGGGAGAGGCTGTGGGTGGTGGGCTGGCCCTGCCCCTGATTGTGGTGGGGGGCTGATCTGGGGTGGGGCTGGGCAGAGGGAGGGGCTGCAGGAGGTTGGCCAGCCGGCCCCACCCCCTATTGGGGTTGGGGGTGCAATCAGGGGTGGGGCCGGTCAGGGGGAATGGCTGTGGGAGGTTGGCCGACCAGCCCCACCCCCCAATCTGGCCAGTTTGCCTGCCATAGTGGGTGTCATAGTGACCAGTCGTTCCAGTCATTCCGATGTTACAGTTGCTGGCTTTTTATATATATACTAGAGGCCCGGTGCACAAAAATTTGTGCACTCGGGGGGGAGGAGGGGTCCCTCAGCCCGGCCTGTGCCCTCTCGCAGTCTGGGACCCCTTGGGAGATAACGACCTGCTGGCTTAGGCCTGCTCCCGGGTGGCAGAGGGCAGGCCCAATCCCTAGGTGCAGCCCCTGGTCGGGCTCAGAGCAGGGCCGATTGGGGAGTTGGGGCGCCGCCCGCTGTCATGCACAGAGCGGGGCGATTGGGAGGTTGTGATGCCACCCTCAGTCACGCTCAGGGTAGGGCCGATTGGGGGGTTGGGGCACCGTCCCCTGTCCCACTCAAGGCAGGGTCGATGGGGAGGTTGCGGTGCCACCCCCTGTCACGCACAGAGCAGGGCCAATCAGGAGGTTGGGGTGCCTTGCCCTGTTACAAACAGAGCAGGGCAGATAGGGAGGTTGTGGCCCCGCCCCCTGTCACACACAGAGCTGCAGGGCGATCAAGGGGTTTGGGCGCTGCCCCCTGTCACGCTGATCCTGGTGCCGGGAGGCCTCGTGGCTCTGCTGATCCCGGTGCTGGGAGGCATATTACCCTTTTACTATATAGGGTAGAGGCCTGGTGCACGGGTGGGTGCCGGCTGGTTTGCCCTGAAGGGTGTCCTGGATCAGGGTGGGGGTCCCCACTGGGGTGCCTGGCCAGCCTGGGTGAGGGGATGATGGCTGTTTGCAGCTGGTCACACATCCTTCAGGGTGGGGGTCCCCACTGGGGTGCCTGGCCAGTCTGGGTGAAGGGATGATGGCTGTTTGCAGCTGGTCACACACCCTTCAGGGTGGGGGTCCCCACTGGGGTGCCTGGCAAGTCTGGGTGAGGGGCTGAGGGCTGTTTTCAGGCTGGGGGTGACTGAAGCTCCCAACCGCTCCTTTTTTTCTTTCTTTTTTTTTTTTTATTCTGGGCCAGCTTTAGCTTTGAGGCTTGGCTCCAGCTCTTAGGCCTCCGCTGCTGAAAGTAGGTTTCTGGCCTTTGCTTACAATGTTGCGATCCTGCTGGCTGAAGCCTGGCGGACTAAAGCGGGTTTCTGGGGTTTTGTTTAGCTTCTATATTTGTTACATAGTTGCTTAGAGTTGCAGCTCAGAGGCCTGCAGTGGCAGGCGGGGAACGTTGGAGTCCTCCGTCACTGAAGCAAGCAAGCCTCATGTTAGTTTCAAGCTGCCTGGCTGCCGGCCGCCATCTTGGCTGGCAGTTAATTTGCATATTGCCCTGATTAGCCAATGGGAAGGGTAGCGGTCGTACGCCAATTACCATGTTTCTCTTTTATTAGATAGGATATAGACTAGAAGCCCAGTGCACAAATTCATGCACATTTGGGGTCTCTCTGGGTGGCCTGCAGGGATCAGGCCAAAACCCGCAGTCCAATGCCGCTTGCAGCTCCTACCTGCTGCTCCCGCTCATCCCAGCCCCACTGTGCCTGCTGCGGACTTGTGCCCAACCAGTCCTTATCAGGGGAGGCTCGCACTGCCGCAGCAGCACTCGCCAACCATGAGCCCTACATCTGGTGCCCTCCCACGGGGAGTGGCTTGCGGGATCGGGCTGAAACCGGTTCTCTGACATCCCCTGAGGGGTCCTGGATTGCGAGAGGGCACAGGCCAGGCTGAGGAACCCCACTGGTGCACAATCAGGCCAGGAAGGGACTGCGGGAGGGCTCCAGGGCATGTCCGGCCCATCTTGCTCAGTCCTGATCGGCCAGACCCCAGCAACAAGCTAACCTACCGGTCAGAGCACCTGCCCCCTGGTGGTCAGTGCACATCATAGTGATTGGTCGACCGGTTGACTATCTGCCCCCTGGTGGTCAGTGCATGTCATAGAGAGCAGTTGAGAAGCCTTAGCATATCATTAGCATATTACACTTTGATTGGTTGTTTGGTTGTTCTGCCATTCGGTCTATTTGCATATTACCCTTTTATTATATCCTATATAACAAAAGCCAAGGTGGCGTCACGTGGCGTCGTCACAAGATGGCCGCCACAAGATGACCACACGCACAGCGGAGGCGGGGCCTGGTGGCAGCTCCGCGTGGTGAGGCCTGGGGGTCCCGCAGCGCTGCGTGGTGCAGAGAAGGCCGGTCTTGGTGTCTCTGCAGCCTCACGTGGAGGAGGCAAGTCCTGGTAGAGGAGGCGGTCGCGGCAGGGGAGGGCAGTTGGGGGCAATCAGGCTGGCAGGGAAGCGGTTGGGGGCGATCAGGCTGGCAGGCAGGCGAGTGGTTAGGAACCAGTCCCGGATTGTGAGAGGGATGTCTGACTCCACAGGGATTGGGCCTAAACCGGGAGTCGGACATCCCCCAAGGGGTCCCATACTGAAGAGGGTGCAGGCTGGGTTGAGGGACACCCCTCCCACCCCCAACCCCCATGCACAAATTCTGTGCACCGGGCCTCTAGTAGGATAATAAAAGAACAAGCGAAAACAGTGAAAAGCTTTACCACATTTAAAGATTACCAGGTATGCCACCCCCGCCCCCTCCCCTACCCCTGGCTGCTCTGAAAAGCTATCTTTGCGTTGTTCCTGTGCTGCAGTCACTTCAGTCACGCGCCTCCGCTGCCGCCACGACCATGGACTCCAGCAGCTTCCTCAACAAAGTCCTCCAATTCTCATTCTTTTAAAAAAATCTGCTGCCCCACCATCTCAGATGAGGCCATGGACACCAGCTCCGAGATCACCACTTAAAGGAGAAGGCACAGAATGGAAGTGACACACCTGCCAATGGGAACGCTAATGAGGAAAATGGGGAGCAGGAGGCTGACAGGAGGCAGATGAAGAAGAGGGAGGAGGAGAGGGGGAGGAGAGGAGGAGAAAGAAAAGAAGGGAGGAGGAGGAAGAGGGGGAAGGTGACAGTGAGGAAGAGGATGGAGATGAAGATGAGGAGGCTGATTCAGCTTCTAGCAAACAGGCAGCTGAAGATGATGAGGATGACGACGTTAACACCAAGAAGCAGAAGACCGATGAGTGTGACTAAACAGCAAAAATGAAAAGTTAAAGGCCTCCGTGACCTATTCACCCTCCACCCTCCATCTCATAATCCATACCTGGTCACCTTGGAGTACAGAATCTGCTTCTCCACCACCCAATCAAAACCACATGAATTTGCAACAGGGGATGAAAAAAAGACCCAATCTTCCAAGGCCCTGCTTCTTCTTTTTTTTTTTTTTTCTTAAAAGTGCTTTAAAAGGAAAATTTGTTTGTATTTTTTTATTTATATTTTACACTTTTGTTCATTTTATTAGGGGTCAGCCATTTTTAATGCTCTCGGGATGACCAAACCAGCCTTTGTCCTACTTCTGACTTTACTTGTGATGTGACCATTATAATTTCAAAGGAAAAAAAAAGAAAACACCTTGTAAGGAAAGCAAAAACAACAACAAAACTCTCTTATTCCGAGCATTCCAGTAACTTTTTGTGTACGTGCTTAGCTGTACTATTAGTAGTTGGCCTGTATGAGATGGTTGAAAAGGCCAAAGATAAAAAGTATCTTTGTTTTTCTGTCCATGAAGCTGCTGTTTGTTTGTTTGTATATTTATTTTGACTTGTTTGATGTATGTGTGAAGCGATGTTGTCCAACAATAAACCGGAATTTAATTTTGCTGAATTGTTCTAAAAAAAATTACCAGGTACTTTGTGACGTGAACATCCCACCCTTCCATTTCTGCCTCTTAACCCAGGCCTGCCAGTATCTGGGAAGAGGTCTGCACTTCTTTGTGAGAATATACTTAAGCAGAAGATGATGTCTTATTTTCTCTTAACATGAAACCGCTTTGGTCCCGGTCCAGGTGGCCAGGGTGGAGTAGACCGGACCCTTTCTTGGGCCAAGGATGTGGGCAAAGAGGGGCAGACCCCAGGGCCTGGGCTCAGCAACAGCAGCCGGAGCTTCTTTCGAGGTGCTGAGCAGCGCCATGGTTCTAATCATTAGAACCAGGGGTGGGCAAACTTTTTGACTCGAGGGCCACAATGGGTTCTTAAACTGGACCGGAGGGCCGGAACGAAAGCATGGATGGAGTGTTTGTGTGAACTAATATAAATTCAAAGTAAACATCATTACATAAAAGGGTACGGTCTTTTTTTTTTTTTAGTTTTATTAATTTAAAAGGGGTCGGATCCCCCGCCGACTGTAGTTTGCCCACGGCTGTATCTAATGGATCACTAGTTGCCCTGGCCGGGGTGAGGCCCAGGGATATGTACGGGCTGTGGGCACAGTTCCCACAGCAATGCGAAAGGGACCTGAGAGGAAAGCTTCATCCCAGCACCTACACCTCCCAACAGCGCTTCGGTTTAGCGGTGAGCCTGAGTCACTCTTCCTGGGCTCCCCCTGGCCTGGCTGATGCAACATGGCCTGAAGTTGAGTAGAAGAAGCACGGAGCTTCTACTCAATGTTGGAGCCGCCAGCAGAGGGCAGCCTTTGCACACCCACGGCGGCATCCCCTGGAGCCACGTGACACCAGCTTTGCATCATCCCTCCCGGCGTCCAGGGGCACAAGAGCAAGGCTCTGGGACTAGCCACCGCCAGGGCTGAGCCCGCAGGAATGCATCTGGGCCTCAGAGGGAGCAGCGCCCCAAGCTTTTTGTGCCGCGGAGCCTGACCTGCTGCTGGTGTCACAGACAGAGCTCGTGGGTCCCCCGCAGACCTGCAGCTGTACACTCGGTCTTACCTACAGGCTGGCTGTGATGGCTCAGAAAGGCAGACGCTGGGAATTCTCTGGTCGCTCCCAGGTAGATACTGTGTTAGAAGCTGCTTTCTTTTTTTTTTTTTTTTAATTAAATCTTTATTGTTCAGATTATTACATTTGTTCCTCTTTTCCCCCCCCATAACTCCCCTCCTCCCAGTTCCTGCCCCACCCTCCGCCCTCACTCCCCACCCACTGTCCTCATCCATAGGTGCACGATTTTTGTCCAGTCTCTTCCCGCATCTCCCACACCCCTTTCCCCCCCAGGAATAGTCAGTCCATTCCCTTTCTATGTCCCTGATTCTATTATAATCACCAGTTCATTCTGTTCATCAGATTATTTATTCACTTGATTCTTAGATTCACTTGTTGATAGATGCATATTTGTTGTTCATAATTTGTATCTTTACCTTTTTCTTCTTCTTCCTCTTCTTAAAGGACACCTTTCAGCATTTCATATAATCCTGGTTTGGTGGTGATGAACTCCTTTAGCTTTTCCTTATCTGTGAAGCTCTTTATCTGACGTTCAATTCTGAATGATAGCTTTGCTGGATAAAGTAATCTTGGTTGTAGGTTCTTGGTATTCATCACTTTGAATATTTCTTGCCACTCCCTTCTGGCCTGCAAAGTTTCTGTTGAGAAATCAGCTGACAGTCGTATGGGTATTCCCTTGTAGGTAACTGAGTTTCTTTCTCTTGCTGTTTTTAAGATTCTCTCTTTATCTTTTGCTCTTGGCATTTTAATTATGATGTGTCTTGGTGTGGTCCTCTTTGGATTCCTTTTGTTTGGGGTTCTCTGCGCTTCTCGGACCTGTAAGTCCATTTCTTTCACCAGGTGGGGGAAGTTTTCTGTCATTATTTCTTCAAATAGGTTTTCAATATCTTGCTCTCTCTCATCTTCTGGCACCCCTATAATTCTGATGTTGGTACGCTTGAAGCTGTCCCAGAGGCTCCTTACACTATCCTCGCATTTTTGGATTCTTTTTTCATTTTGCTTTTCCGGTTGGGTGTTTTTTGCTTCCTCACATTTCAAATCATTGACTTGATTCTTGCGCTCCTCTGGTCTGCTGTCGGGAGTCTGTATAATATTCGTTATTTCAGTCCGTGTATGCTTAATTTCTAGTTGGTTCACCAATATAACATCGAGGGTCTCATTAGTTTTCTTGTAGATCTCATTAAGTTTATCGGCGGCTTCTAAACAGTTCTTGAGAGACCTTAAAAGTGTGGTTCTGAACTCTATATCTTCCATTGACAATTTTGTCCTGTTTCTTTGTCTCCGCATTTTGTTATGCTTCCTTGGTGCACCCCCTAGTGGTCTTTGTTCGCAGCCTTATAGTTAAACCTTGATTGTTGTAGCTAATACCAGGGAGGGTTTGACCTCCAGGCCAAGTGGCTATGAGAATCAGCTGTGTCTGCAGTGAGAGAACTTCTGTCCTCTAGGAAGGTGCTAATCTAGCCTTTGCCTGAGGCTATCCGGCAAATGCCTCTGTGCAGGGCTTGGGCGGGGCGGGGCGGGTCAAACAGGATCAGCAGGGTGGGCCGGAGAGAGCAGTTATGGCTGCCCTTAGTCCTGTCCCCAGGGGCTCTGCCTCTCTGAGTCCCAGCACCCGCTGCAAAGCTCGGAGAGAAAGCTGCACTCGCTCTGACCGAAGCCAGACAGTCCCGCTTCTCCCGTTTGAGTCTGGGTCCCTAAAGACTCGCCTGTATCTGGAGCTCAGAGTCTGCAACTCCCTCCCGATTAAAAACGCCAACCGCGCCCTCCGCCGCCAGCCCGCTCACGCACTCCGCACCTCAGAATTTGACTTCAGCACTGCGCCTCCTCTGAGTGTCCGTATGCGTTTCTCTTTCCTCCTAGTTGTAGGACTTCCACTCAGCCAGCGTTCCTGTGGTTCTGGGTGATGTCCGTTCCGTTTTTTAGTTTCACTTTTGAAGTAGTTGTTCAAGGCAGCAAACTCCGGGGTTAACCTATGCCGCCATCTTGGTTCTCCTCGAAGCTGCTTTCTTGTCTTCGTTATTTTTTAAAAGAGGCTTCAGTACTGACTTAGTAATGGTTTTACAGGATGGAATGAAGCCCCCTCGTTTTCACACTCACACACAGTACCCTGGGAGTGAGTGTGGCTGGCACCCTGGGGCCCCGGTAGAGTCTGTCAGGCTTTCATAATCGGGACAGAGGACAGAGGAGCCGGGGAAAGGAGGCCAACCGAATACCGGATGTTTGCAACCCTTGGCGTCACCATCATCCAGTGTCTTCAGGTATCTATGGAAACCCCTGAATACTGATGTGCTCCACTGTTCTGAAACAAATGGACTCAGAAGTCCCCTTTCTGCCGGCCAGGTGATAAAGTGATTGCCCAGGGCTCAGGGTCCATCAACATCCTTATCTCCGTCATCCAAATGCTTGAAGTGCCAGAGCTTGACCTCTAGCTTCCTGCAGACAGAGCCAAGCCCTTCCCCCACCTCCTTCCCCAGCAGCATTTATAATCTGCTCTCAGCATTTCTTGTCTCCAGCCCTCCACCCACCGGACCTGCCCCTCTCTCCACTTTCTCCAGCCTCTTAGCTTTCACCTGTGGCTTTTTAAAATTATTATGAAATTAAATACATTTTTTAAATTTTGGAATAATTGTGGATTTGCAGAAAAGTTGCAAAGATAGTTCCAATGGTTCTTTTTAAAATATGTTTTTATTGATTTCAGAAAGTGGAAGGGAGAGGGAGAGAGAAATAGAAACATCAAGGATGAGAGAGAATCATCATTGGCTGCCTCCTGCATGCCCCCCATTGGGGATCGAGCCAGCAACGGGGACCTGTGTCCTGACCTGGATTTGAACCGCAACCTCCTGGTTCATAGGTCAGCGCTTAACCATTGAGCCATACTGCTGGGCCCAATAGTTCTTGTGTGTTCCTCTCCCATGGCCAAAACTCATCGGTCAAAACTCAGAAGCCAACACTGGGACTTGACAGTTAGCTAAATGTCAAGCTTAATTTGGAGTTTGCTGGTTTTCCCAATAATGTCCTTGTCTGGTCCCACTCAGGAGCTCATGTGGGGTATGAGGCTGCATGTCGATGTAGCTCATTTCTCATGCAGGCCCTGGATCATCCTGCCAGCCTGTGCTCTCCACCCCAGGCCCTAGGGAGAAAAGACACCCTTGATAGTAGTTCTCCGTTAGCTTAAGTGCCTTTGGATGAAATGATGAAAGTGGCCAAAGGGCATCCATTTGACATTCTACCCAACCACCTGAGACACTGGCCTTCCCCCATCCTTCAGAGCAGCGGCTCCCAACCCTCCCGACGCCGCGGCCCTTTAACACAGCTCCTCATGTGGTGGTGCCCCCAATGTCATTGCTACACACTGAACATAATGAAAGCATAGTGATGAATCACACAAACAACATGTAATTATGTGTTTCCGATGGTCTTAGGCGACCCCTGGGAAAGGGTCGTTCGACCCCCAAAGGGGTCTCAACCCACAGGTTGAGAGCCGCTGCTTTAGAGGTACCCACTGGCCTCCTTATCTCTACAGTTGCCTCACTATCAAGATCCTAAGTATTAGTCATTCATTATTTAGTATAAGCTGCAGGCTTTGCTGCCGTGCTGCACATTACTGAGATGTGAAGATGGGGAGTTCTCTGGGACAGGAATCATCTAGAATCTTGAGTAATAGTAGGAATTAAAGCCTCTTTGAAAATCCCATTAATTAGAGAAAGTCCCCTCCTTTAAAAAAATATATATATATGTAAATATATATATATATTTTTAAGAGAAGTAAGCTTTATTTCCTTGTTTCTCAAATAGAGTTGGCTGAGCTGGTTGCTTTTTGGTAATTAATCAAAGAGATGGGAATGCAGACTGGTGCAGCCACTATGGAAGACAGTGTGGAATTTCCTCAAAAAACTAAAAATGGAACTCCCATTTGACCCTGTGATCCCACTTCTAGGAATATATCCCAAGAAACCAGAAACACCAATCAGAAAGGATATATGCACCCATATGTTCATAGCAGCACAATTCACTATAGCTAAGATCTGGAAACAGCCTAAGTGCCCATCAGTAGATGAATGGATTAGAAAACTGTGGTACATCTACACGATGGAATACTATGCTGCTGGAAAAAAGAAGGAACTCTTACCATTTGCAACGGCATGGATGGAGCTGGAGAGCATTATGCTAAGTGAAATAAGCCAGTCAATGAAGGAAAAATACCACATGATCTCACTCATTCATGGATAATAGAGACCATTATAAACTTTTGAACAATAGATACAGAGGCAGAGCTGCCTCAAACAGATTGTCAAACTGTGGCGGGAAGGCTGGGGAGGGTTGGGGGGCAGGAGGGAGGGGAGTAAGAGATCAACCAAAGGACTTGTATGCATGCATATAAGCATAACCAATGGACATAAGACACTGGGGGGTAGGGGCTGCCAGGGGATTGTTAAGGGCGGGGGGAAAAAGAAAAAGGACACATATGTAATACCTTTTGTAATACTTTTAGCAATAAAAAAAAAAAAAGTTGTTGTTATAGCTGCCTCTATGGCAGTGGTTCTCGGCCTTGGCTGCGCATTGGAGTCACCTGTGAATCTTTTTGGAGTCCTGATTTCTGGGCCTCATCCTCCGGAAATTCTGTTTCTTTGTTATGGGATGAGGCCACAACATTAGTAGCAAGGAGGCAGGGTTTCCGGAGGGTGAGGCCCAGAAATTGGGATTTCGGAGGGATTCCCAGGTGATTATGGTGTGCAGCCAAGGTTGAGAACCACTGCTCTATGGCATAAAAAAAAAAAAAAAAAAAATTAATCAAAGAGACCAAATCCCATAGCCACAGGGGCAGCAGGCACAAAAGCAGATGCATCAGCCAAGAAGGCCTTGACCTTTTCAGCAAGTGGGAAGGTGTAATCAGTCTCCACAGACAAAGCCAGAACTCGCTTGTACCCATTGATGATAGAATGGGGTACTGACGCAACAGTTGGGTAACCAATCTGAAGGCATACGCTGGCAACATTGCGGACACCCTCCAGGAAGCGGGAATGCAGAGTTTCCTCTGTGATGTCAAGCACTTCCGGGCTGTAGATGCTGCCGTTGTCAAACACCTGCTGGATGATCAGCCCACAGGAGAAGGGGGAGATATTCAGCATGTGCAGCAGTGTGGCTTCGCTGGCTCCCACTTTGTCTCCAGTCTTAATCAGCTGTGCATCACTCAGGATTTCAGCAGTGATGCCTAAAGCCTGGAAGAAGGAGGTCTTCTCTGGCCCCAGAACAGTGTTCTGGGCTGGCACAGTGACTTCACATGGGACCATGGCACCAGCACGGGCAGCAGCTGGCACCTGATTGGCCAGCAGCATGTCCCGGATCTCAGTGAGGTCCTCCTTGGTGAACACAAACCCCACATTCCCCCGATATGAGGCAGCAGTTTCTCCAGAGCCGGGTTGTTTTCCAGGTGTCCTCGGATGTCCTTGCGCATCATGGTGTTCTTGCCCATCAGCACCACAGCCCTCCCGCGGCGGGACCTGCGGATCTGCTGCCTCTGCTTGGAGCCCACATTGGCTGCTCCCACAATGAAGCATTTTGGATAATCATCCAGGAGTTGGATGATCTCAAGGAAGTAGTTGGACTTCCAGGTCGCCCTGTCTTCCCTGGGCATCACAGCGGTGCGTCAGGGATAGCCACGCAGGGTTTAAAGATGATGTCACTCCCACGAGGACGCCTGGCGAGAGGAAGCTAAATATATTTTTATTGATTTCAGAGAGGAAGGGAGAGGGAGAGAGAGAAACATCACTGATGAGAGAGAATCATTGATTGGCTGCCTCCTGCACTGGGGATTGAGCCCACAAGTCAGGCATGTGCCCTTGACTGGAATTGAACCTGGGACCCTTCAGTCTGCAGGCCCACGCTCTATCCACTGAGCCAAACCAGCTAGGGCACTCCTTTTTTTTTTTTTTTTTTTTTAAATTTAAATTCTTTATTGTTTAAAATATTACGTAAGTTTCCCTTTTCCCCCATTGACCTCTCCCCAGCCACTCCCAACCCCCAGCACATGCCCTCACCCCCTGCTGTCTGCGTCCATTGATTATGCTCATATGCATGCATACAAGTCCTTTGTTTGATCTCTTATCCCCCACCCGCTTTCTCTCTTAGGTTGGATGGTCTATTCAATGCTGCTATGACTCTGGCTCTATTTTTGTTCATCAGTTTATGTTGCTCATCCCCCACTCCTGTGACTGGCCCTTTTGTACCCCAGGATACCTGCAATAGCATTTTGAAGCGTCTACCCCAGAATCTTCCCATTAGCTGTGTATCATGATGCCCACCCTCCACATTCTTCCCCTAACCCCACAGCTGAGGTGCTGACACAGGACATCATTTGAGAAACACATCTGTGCAGCATCGAGAGGCTGGCAAGACGCATTCTTTACTGTAGAAAACTAGAGAGAAGCTCTCTGTGAGAAAATCTTACTGAGGCCAGGCCCTCCTTCAAGGCCCTCTCCCAGCACTCTGGTGCCTTTGTCCAACTGCCCAAAGGTCATTGGGTTTCACTCGGAAAACCAAAACCAGCCCTTGGGCAAGGGATGCAGAAATCAAAATGTTGGATTTCTATTGCCAAAGATCTGCTCAAACTTTCCTGCTTTTTCCTCCTCCTGCCCGAGTTGAGGGTAGAGGGGCGCTAAATTCTTCAGATCCTGGCCCAGGCTGGTTGATCTGCCATCTGGGTGTCCCCTACCACAGATGGACCCAGCCATGCGTGAGCAGAGGATTCCCTCATCTCCTCAGTGCCTCCTTGCACCTGACCCCCACAGGCCTGATTTCTTCCAGCTCCTTGCAGTGACCTTGTGGGGACCAGAGGGGATTCAGGTCTTCAATAGGATGCTAGGGGAGTCAGGTCATGCACTGGCAAGGATTTGGAGTAGGATGGGGAGGTAGATCAGGGCATTTTCCATACAGTAGGGTGGTAGATCACCAGGCAGGATGGAGGAGGACTGCAGGGTTTGGATTTACAACAGTGCTCTCCTGTGGTCCCTATGACCTTTGAAATGCAAGTACCTGGTCAAAAACTCAAGTCTGGCCACCTTTAAAATACAGGTTTCTGGGGAATACTTAGCCATGTGTGCAGATCAAGTTCACGCATTACAGCTTTGATTGCTGGATCGCTTGCTTTTATCTATACTGCAAGAAGTCTGCAAGGTGGATTTGGAGTGGTTATAATGTCTTTTGCTTTATGGAAAGTGTGCTTTGAAGCTAAGTCTGTTTAAAATATGTTCATGGGTGTCAATCTAAGAAATGCTGGTTGTTTGCTTGTCTTGGTTATTGAGGACTGAAGCTTCTAAGAATTATTAATTGGAAATTATGTGATTTTGGTAATAAAAGGCATGATGCATAGAGATGCAGTTTGAAAACTAGTTATTCCTAAAAGTTATAAAAAGGTTTGTGAAAATTATGTTTACAAGGGAAAATGTTACAAGGAAACAAAGCCAAACACTGTTGGGCAACTTGCAACCAGCTTGTAACTAACAACCATTACCTTCCCCAGCGGGCACAAAGCACATGGTTAAAAATAAATAAATAAATAAATAAATAAATAAATAAATAAATACCTCCCTGCCGAAAGGGAGGGGTGAAGAGGAAAGAAAAAAAGGTCGTTTTACTCCCCAGGCAGAGAGGCCGGCAGTGTCAAGGCTTGGCAAGGGAAAGTTTGCCAGCTACTTCTCATGATTTCTGAAAAGGCTAGAACAAAATAATGGGGAGTCTTGAGATTTAATCTATACCAACATACTCAGCAGAGACCTACAGACAGGAGGGTGTATGGTGTATTGGACCCCCACCCGGCCTACTCTTCTGATTGGTTGGGGGCCTGTTTATGCTTCATGAGCCAGAGGTATAGGTTTACTTGCTTTGCTTTTTCAATGAAGATACACACCTTGATTGCTTTGATTGATTGGCTTTTCACAGAACCGTCAAGGTCTCTCATATAAATTCATTTGTATGAGAAGGCAAAATGCAGATTTTGTGACTTTTGTTAAAGGTATTCCTAATTTTTAAACTTTGTTTTTCAGATACAAGGAAACAAAACAATTTGGCAAATTGTATATTTTTCTCCCTACCTAATCCCTCAAGAATAAATGAGTCATGGCAATGCGTTTCTTCGCCTGGGTTCCATAAGACCAGTTTCCAATAATAGTTTTATTAATGAAGACTTTTGCTGGGGTGCCATGTCTGAGAGAGTCATGCCTGGACTCTGGATGTCACCGGAGGACTTGAAGCCAGCGTAGGCCCCTTGGAGAATAGCCTGGTGCCTCACTTGGTCATGTGGTTTACGGCAGTCTTTCCAGGTAAGGAACGAAGGTTACTTTCCGGAGAGATGGCCTGAGAAGGACCTCAAGACACCCATGGGAACCTCAAAAACTTGAGGACTGTACCCCAAATCTGCAGGGATTGCAGGCAAGCCTGATGGCAGCTAGGTGGCTCAGCTTCTTTGCCCGGAGGGGCTCATTAAAGCTTGATCATGAGATTCCAGCAAAACAGATTTTAAAAGAGCCTGGACAGTCAGTTACTGCTCTTGTTGTGTTCATGCAAACACTCAGGCCAAGTTAAAATTAGACTTAGTGCAATAAGTGAATTGGTCTTTAATAAGAATGGAGGTGGCTTTGGGGAGAGAAATTATATTTCAACAGACTTTATAATACACAATTGTCCGTTGATTCCAATTAATTATTTCAACGTTTCATCTTTCACCTATGAATTAAACTGAAGCCTAAGTTTGTCTAGTTTTCTTGAATGCTAGCTACAATTCTCCAGACTAATACTTGCTTTGCTCCCATTTTTTGCCTTGGAATCATTGAACACTAAAATGCTTGTACCATCTCTCTATATAAAACCCTAATATGCAAATAGACCGAATGGCAGAACAGTCGAACCACTGGTCACTATAATATGTGCTGACCACCAAGGGGCGCGCGTGGAACATGGTGGGCATCGGCAGCAGGTGGCAGAGCATGGAACATGGTGGCTTTTTGCCATAGCGGGATGGTGGAGTAGGTGAGCAGGGGCGCCAGACCAAGGCGGGGTGGTGGTTGCTGTTATCGGGGTGAATCTCTGGTGGTTACTGAAAATTCTTTGCTCCTGTGCATCGCAGTCCCACCCTGGTGCTCACACCTGCTAGTGGTGCCAGCCCTGTTTGCACCTGCTGCTGGTGCCAGAGCCGCCGCTTGCACCCACTGTCAGTGCCCAGTGCCATCAGTGGGTGTGAGTGGCGGCTGCTGGTCCCAATCCCCACTGAGGGCTTCTCCACCTCCGCCTGCTCCTGAGGGGCGATCGGGGCAGGCAGCTGCCTCTCACACCTGCTGCTGGCGACAGCCCCGCTCATACTTGCTGTTGGCGTCGGAGCCGCTGCTTGCACCGCTGCCTGTGCAAGGCACTGGTCCCAATTGCCCCTGAGGGCTTCTCCACCTCCCCCTGCTCCTGAGAGGCGATTGGGGCAGCAGAGGTGATGGTGCCGCCCCACTCGCACCTACTGCTGGTGCCGGCCCCAATCACTCCGTGCTGTCAGCGGGTGTGAGTGGGGCAGGCACCATCAGTGTGTGGGAGCGGCGATGGTGGGAGCAGGGCTGCTGGTAGACAGGGGAACAGGGGCCATGGTGAGAGGGGTCAGGCAGGGGCTGGAGGATGGGCTGGACCCACCACTGTGCCCACTGCAGCCTCACGGCCCACAGTTCCTTTCAAGGTGCACAAATTTGTGCACTGGGCCCCTAGTTTATTATAATTGTTGTTAAGTTTGTCTCCACCAGGTTACAAGCCCTACTCGCACACAGGAAATACCACCTCTAAATACCATCACCACCTCCTTCCGTGCTCAGGCCTCATCGTCCTTTTGACAGAGAACAAGGATTTCTTGGCTCTGAAGAAAAATGTCACCCCCTTTAATGTGAGATTTGCTTAGCCCTTTTCCAGTAAGGAGTTACTTCAACAGTGGATGTAAAGTCCTAGTCCTTACTTTTCACATATGAACCTCATTGCTGACACACTGGGGAGACCAGAATGAAAAGATAGATCTTTTGATAGTGAGGGCACACATAGGAATAAGACCGAAGTTGTTTGTACTTTCCCCGGGCTCTGGGTACTGGCCAGTCCAGAGCTCTGGGTACTGGCTGAACTCTCCCAGCCCTCAGCCTAGAGGCCCTTCTTTTTCAACTCCTTTGGGAAACTCAATGGATACTTCAAAAACATTGAAACCATTTCAGATACTTTCAACCACGGGTTAGTACATGCTTCCCCACATATGGAGCAGGATGGGTGCCTGGTAGGACCACGCTGGTAAGAGCGCACAGTCCAGTGGGTCAGTTCTGTTAGTGGGTGCACACTAACAGGTTTTCTCACCCTAGACCTCATCATGCCAATAAGTGCAACTAGTCCGGCAGATCCTCTTTTGTGGTTGCACACAAAGAGGCACTCTCTCACATCCCTCATCTAGGAGGGGGATGCCCCAAACAGAGAAGGGAGGATCACAGAGGATGGTGGACATCCTTTTGTGTGTTTTCTTACAGATGGGAAGCACTTTGTCCACACCCCGTGCAGATAGCCCTTTGGGCTGTATTCTTTTTTTATATAGTTTAATGTATTTTAATAGCAAACTTACAGGAACAGCACAGAAGACAGACAACATTAAAAACATGTACTTGCATGTAGGACAACTAAGTGAGAAAAGGAGAGTGAACGGATGGAGTCTACTGTGTGATAAAAATGCTACAAACACCATGTAGTTGCCATCAATAAGAAATTTACTTGTTTTAAAAAAATCCAAATGCTGGCATTGTCCAGAAAAATTTAACAGGTTTATTTATATTGTTATAAAGTTGAACTGCTGAAACTTGCTCACTGAAACATTTGACTTGCATTAATGCTTTATGTCCCCGCATTTATATTAAAAAAATTCACACACAAATGAAAATGGAAAAACTGCCAAATAGCTGATTTGTCCCCTATTTTCAACTTGCAATCATATACTTAGGTACCTTTTGACCCCATGGGAAAAAAAAAAAACAAAAAAAAACCTAACGTTCAGAACTACCAATAACAGGAAGAAGAGAAAAATTTTTAAAAGAATGAAATGTTTCCATCATAGTGGATTCTTAAGCACGTTCTCCACGTATGCGGCGTGCTAGCTGGATGTCTTTTGGCATAATTGTTACACGTTTGGCATGGATAGCACACAGGTTGGTGTCTTCAAACAGGCCAACCAGATAGGCCTCACTTGCCTCCTGCAAAGCACCAATGGCCGCGCTCTGGAAGCGCAGGTCTGTTTTGAAGTCCTGAGCAATTTCTCGCACCAGACGCTGGAAGGGAAGCTTGCGAATGAGAAGCTCAGTGGACTTCTGATAACGTCTAATTTCACGAAGTGCCACGGTTCCAGGCCTGTAGCAACGCGGCTTCTTCACCCCTCCGGTGGAGGGCACACTCTTCCGAGCGGCTTTGGTCGCCAGCTGCTTCCGAGGCGCTTTGCCCCCGGTCGACTTGCGGGCGGTCTGCTTGGTACGAGCCATGGCGCAGGGACCTCATCACTTACCCCCCTTCTCCTTCGGCTGGAGCTCGGCGAGCTGGAGGCGGCGCAGGCATTGGAGGCTGGGCTGTATTCTTAAACAGTGGGACCCTCAGACCCTTATGAAGAAACACTGGATTTTTTTTTGTACCCAAACATGGCCTCAGTATCAACTGGAAAATAGAGAGATATGGCCCCAAAAATACCTTTTTGCAATTAAATCTTTTCCATATAAGAGAAGGGAAGTAGTTTAAGGTCTCGTATATCCAGGCTTTCTTTACTTTAAGAAACAATAAAAATTATGTCAGCAATGCAATATTGAACCTTAGTTCTTGACAGCCTTGTCCCAAAAACAATACCAGAGAGTCAAAAACCCCTAAGAAGATGACAGGGCCTAGTGGCCTACAGAATACACCTAAGCCATCTTGTCCTCCTTAAAATACAAGTCCCCTGGAAGGACTAGTCCCACCAGGACCAAAGGGGACTCAGACACCCAGGCCCCTGAGTACCATCTGCCCTCTCCAGGCAATGGCAGGGGAATAGTTTTGACCCAGCCTGGTCCAGGTATCGTTTTCCATACAGGACTTACAGCAAATTAAAGAAATAATCCCATCCCTAAGAAGCTGGCTAGTCCCTTTTCTCAGCCCTTTGTTTAGCTATTTCTATTGTTTGTCTTTGGCCCTCATTAAACCTCCTAATACATTTTGTTTCTTCTCGCATAGAGGCTATAAAACTCCAAATGTAACCCCAGATGGATTCAACTGCCTTTTACTATGGACCCCTAGACCGGCCTCCTCCAATGGGACCTGACAACTGCTCCCCCACAACGCCCACTGTCAGCAGGAAGTAGCCAGAGCAGTCGTCATCCCTGCTCCCAACAGCAGTTGGAGTCTCCTAATTGGAGGGGGGACTAAGAGGGTTAACTTGAACATAGGCAGATAGGGCAGGGGCCCAGGAGAAAACAAAGGCAGGTGGAACATATGCAGGGGCAGACATGGCAGTTTGAGCAGCCTAACCACAGGGACCACACAAGCAGAAATAATAAAATGTTTCTGGATTCAAAGCGGGAGGCATGGGAAAATAAGGGAGGGCCTGCAGCAACAAGGTGTATGAACACATAGGAACAGAGAAAGTTCAGGTCCATTGCTGGGTAAAAACAAGTCAATCAGGTGATGACACAAGTAGACATGGAAGCAGGCTTGTGGCAAATATATACCTCTGTACTACAAGGCCTTAACATGCAGCCCATTACTGGTTTAATAAGGGCCAAAGATAAGCAATAGAAATAGCTAAACAGCCTCCCTTTGCGGGGAGTCTGAATCTTCTTGTAATAAATATTCCACACTTTTGCTTAAATTTTCTGGTCTGCGTAGCTCATTCTTTGGTGTCGCAAGACATGACCCCGGGAAAACACCTTGGCTCGCCATTCCGGTCATCATCTTGTTTCTTTTACATGTAACACTTACTCTTGGGGAATGTCAGACCATCAGCGAAGCAGTTATATAGCATGCTAATGACATACACATGATCAATCAGCCATATCCCCTAGGTTCAGTTCCCCCAAATGAGCCAGGATGGAACTACAGTAACCCAAATGGAATCTGGGCTAGGGATCATCTGTTAGGATGTCTAATATATGGAATAAAGGCTAGCAAGAGTAGGCCAGTCAACTTCAATAAACTAGCCACCATTGACCGAGAGCAAACAGAAAACCCCAATGCCTTTGTAGAAAGGCTATGGGAGGCTCTTCTAAAATATGCAAACCTTAATCTGAATTCACCAGAAAAAGATTTAATCGTGAAGGATCAGTTTTTAGCCCAAGCCACTCCTGATATTTGAATAAAGCTCCAAAAGCAGGGAATGGGACCGGGCACTCCCTTCATGGACATCCAGTAGGCCAGAGGATGCCTGACCAAGCGAGCGCCTCCCCTCCCGCTTTATGCCGCTTCTGAAACTCTAGCCATTGGAGGTGGGAGTGCCCCCAAGGGCCGGGGGGTTCCGGGTCAGAATCCCAGCTCACGTTGGCCTTGAATTGAGGGGGTTCAGCAGGTTTCTGAATCAACTATCATCATCAAAGGGACAGAGCCAAGGATAACCCTGGATGTGGCAGATAGGACCACACATTTTCCTTTAAATACAGGCGCCTCTTACTGTGAGCTCACCTCCTATTCGGACAGCTCTCTTCCAGGACTAGCCAAGTAATGGGGATAAATGGAATACCCAGAAAAATTTTACTCTGCCTTTATATTTTCTCTGGAGCTAAATTATATTCTCACGTCAATTCCTAATAATGGTGAAAATGCCCCACTCCCCTCCTTGATATTTTAAACAAATTAGGCACCCAAATAACCTTACCTTGGCTCTGTTAGCATTATGCCCTGAAGAAAATCCCAGAACCTTCGAAAATGATCTAGACCTTAGAATAAACCCCCAGGTTAGGACCTCTGAGATACCTGGGCAAGCCCAAACAACACATCCTATAATTATTAAAGTTAAAACCCCACCAGCTTCCCCAACCACAAACAGTATCCCATCAGTCTGTTACCGGAAAGGGGACCTGGCCTTTGGCAGGTCTGCCTAGGGCCAGCCGGTAGTGTGTGGGCTCTTGACTTCATGCAGGAAAAATTTCTCAGCATGAGCCCAGGTGATTATGAGGGACCATTTATTAAAGGAGGCTTCCAGCAGAATATTACTCAGTTCTCTAGGTGTGCTCCTCCAGGGTCCTGGTCTCCACTGGTTGGTCAGTGTCGGGTTAGGGGGTTGTCAGTCAGTGAAGCCGGTCCTGGTGTTGCCAACCCCCTGGTTCTGTCTGTTGCTTTTCTGAGTCTGGAGCTGAAATACAACTGAGGCCTCCATGTCATCTCTAGGAAGGCAACCTTCTGCACCTGCAGTAAGTGGCTCTCCCAGTTTGTTCAGCTGCGTCTCAGTTTCCCTGTTCCATGTGTCTGCTTACAGAAGCGAGAGAGGGACTATGCCCCTTAATTATGAAATTCCTTCAACATGCGTTATTAACCCCCTGCACCTCACCCTGTAACACACCAATTTTGCCAGTCAAAAAGAAACATGGGGAACATAAATTAATTCAAGATCTATGAGTCATAGAAGAGGCCATAATCTCCATTCATGCTCTCATCCCCAGTCCATAGACAATCCTCGAAAAAATTTCCCCAAAGACCAAATGATTTTTGGCCTTAGATCTTAAGAATGCTTTCCTTTGCATTTCATTAGACTTACCTTGTCAACCTGTATTTGCCTTTGAATGAACAGATAAACAAGCTCACCTGGACAGTACTGCCCTTAGGCTTCTAGGACGGTCCCCACCTATTGGGCAGGTCTTCACAAGAGATTTAAAGAACTTCTCTCTGAAGGGGGCTGGCAGGTGGCCAGGTCATTCAATGTCGATAATTTACTCATCTACCCCCACCACCACCACCACCAAAAAACCAGACCTTCAACATATAACTAAGACTCTAAATTTTCTTGCCGAAAGAGGATACAAACTAACCAGAGAAAAGACACAAACACTACAATGAATAAATTACTTAGAACTCACTCTCACCCCAGGAGAACAAAAATTATCTCCAAAGAGAAGACAGGCCATATAACACATCCCAGATCCCAATACCCGAAAACAACTCAGAGCTTTCCCGGACCGATGGGATACTGTAGACTAGGGATCCCAGGGCATGGGAAAATAGCAAAGCCTCTATATCAGGCGCTCAGATCAGAGCCTGAGCAAATTCCTCTGCCCTAAAATGAGAAACAAAAACAGACGTTTGCCCAATTAAAGACAGCTCTAATAAAGGCGCCTGCTCTTGGGCAACCAAACCCCAAAACCCTTTCCAACTAAAAAACAGGGGGTAGCGGTAGGGATTCTAACCCAAAATCTAGGGCCCATAAAACAACCTATTAGGAACCTCTCCAAAAACTCAGACTCCATGCCCCGGAGAGGGCCTCACTGCCTTAAAATAATTACAGCAACAGCTCTGTAGCAGAGGAGGCCTCCAAAATTACTCTTAAACAAAAATCACCCTTTATTCCTCCCACCAGATAAACTCCTTTCCAAAACATAAGGGACCTTACTGACTTACAACAAAATACTAAAATACTAAATTTTAATATCTAAAAAACCCCAAGTCAGGATAAAGCACTACTCCACTCTAATCCCAACCACCTGAACACCTGCCCTGCAGGCGACAATGAGTCCCTCCATTCCTACAACAAAATTATCAATCAAACCTATGCCGGCAAGAGAGACTGGAAGGACCAACCACTAGACAATGTGGACGAGGTCCGGTTCTCTAATAAAAACAGTTTCGTCAGGAATGGGATGTCCTCTGCTGGCTACGCAATTGGCACATCTCAACAGGTCACCGAGGCCCGAGCCTTCCCTCCTGGGACTTCTGCCCAGCCAACTAAACTAATACCCCTAACAAAAGCCCTTAAGTTAGGAAAAGGAAAAAGAATCAATATTCACATTGACTCTGAATATGCATTTCTAATACTTCATACTCAGGCCCACTACGTAAAAAGAAAGAAAAAGGCCTACCCAGTTTGCTCAGTGGATAGAGCATCGGCCTGCGGACCAATGGGTTCCAGGTTCGATTCCAGCCAAGGACATGTACCTTGGTTGCAGGCTCCACCCTGGACCAGGCCCTGGTGGGGCCTGGTGGGGGCACAGGCAACCAATCGATGTGTTTCTCTCACATCGATGTTTCTCTCTCTTTCCCTCTCTCATCCACGCTCTCAAAAAATCAATGAAAAAATATCCTCAGGGTTAGTAAAAAGAAAACAACAACAACAAAACAAAAAAAGAGAAAAATAAATAAATAAATACATAAAAAGAAAGAAAGAAAATACCTCATGACAAGGAATACCCCTATCAAACATGGGCCTCCAATTCTTAAATTACTTTAAACTATAAACTTATCTCTCCCCCCCTAAAAAAACAATTATACACTACAAGGGACATAAAAAAAATAACACAAAGATACGTTTGCCAAAATCGCTACTAAAAGAGCGGTTTCTACTCAAGGTTCCCTTCTAGGGCAAGCATGTCAAACTCGG